GTTTCGAGAGTTTGATTGGTCTCAGCAATGACATCCAATGCATTTTCATTATATTCTTTGACTACCCATGAACCAGCAAAGCTCTCATCTTTTGATTCTGCTTTATAAGCTTTTCAGAATGCACCTTCTCCGAGCACATCTTCTGAAACACTAAATTCAACTGCCCTTGGTGAAGACGACCAGCTCATATCTGCCAAATTAAATCCATACAAGTGGATGGTAGTGGTAGACTTGTTTATAAGTTTACCTAGTTTCAACATATGGGTTACCGAGAGACTCTTGGGCATTGGTGTTGAGATTTTAGCTTTTTTTGGAGTTGGAACAGAGTTAGGGCCCTTTCGTTTTACAGTTGTGCTTTGCGGATGAACTGGGTCAGTATCATCAACGAATACAGGCGCATCTGCTGTCGAGCTTTTGTTTATGAATCTGACGTATATAAGATTCATATTAGGTATTTGCTTCAAGGATGCGCAGGAAGGTCCTTGCTCACCGGCAAGAATATCACATACAACATTGTTTCCAACCTTCGGTTCAAAATGTTTCAGGCATGCAACCTTCACTCGTTCAATTGTCATCTCTTCTTTTGTATAAAATCGATCTAGATCTTCATCGTCGTCGTCATATAACTGGACAAATTCCCTTGGGCCGATACGTGAATACTTTTGGGCCTTGCCCGACACGTCCGCGCTTAACATTTGAACTGTTATTTCACGTTTGGAAACATCTTTCCCTTTTTGGCTCTTCCCACTCAAGCGCGTTTTTTTTTTCATATCTTCTTTGAACTTTCGCCATTTCTCCGCCATGTTGCCTTCCGCGCGGGCAAAGGTTCATGGGATGTTATGATAGCGCTCGGCCCACTGGCTCGGCCACTGCTCGGCTCATGGGAATTTCTCTCGGGTCGCTGTGCATTATGGTAGTGGCAGCCCTCGGCCATGGTGAAATTCACTTTTACTTTGTAATTTTAATTGTAAATCAGTATTTTGTATTTCATTTTAATTTACTTTTATTTTTCATTTTAATTTATTTTTATTTTTCATTTTAATTTATTTTTATTTTTCATTTTAATTAAAAAAAAATTATAAAGAATATTTTGGTAGTGGCAGCCCTCGGCCATGGTGAAATTCACTTTTACTTTAATTTTAATTGTAAATTATTTTGCATTTCATTTTAATTTATTTTGTATTTCATTTTAATTTATTTTGTATTTCATTTTAATTTATTTTTATTTTTCATTTTAATTAAAAAAATAAAAAGTAAAAAAATCTTTAAAATAATGTAAAATGTACAAAAAAAACGAGTGGCAACGCTCGGCCACCATACAGTTTATATATTTTGTAAAGTTTTGTTTATGGGACAAAAACGTTACGACACGATTTTCTTGGTTAATTTGCATATAAACTCATTATTAAATTATGTCCTAAACTTCGTTTTGGAGTTAACATTGCAAATCGTCATTCTTGTCTTTGATTGGTTGATTTAAAATTGATTGACAGTAGAAAGATTACACCAGAGTCACATTTACGCTACTATTTTTAAATACCAATACGTGTCACGCCAAATTTAGATAACCAAAGCAGCCTAGAAGTTGTAAACATGTTACGGAGTTCCTATTTATATATTAAAAGAGCATACGGAAACGAGAATGCAATTATATAATTATGCCTATATAATTAATATATACATATTTCTTCGTTTTTAATTTTTCGCATGAAGTATTTGGCCAAGCGCAGTATGTTATCTGGCCTCGTATTTATTCTTAGCTTGGTCAAACTGTTCCCGCGGACCCAAAAAGACTAAATTCAACAGTAAGGGCCAGGCTTAGATGAATTAAAGGCCTAGCAAGAGCCTTTTATTCTGGCTAAAATCTAGGACACCACGTCGTCACACAAAGCGGATAGAACTTCGCTTGACAAGTTGACATATAATTAACTAAGATTCCCAATTATACGCCACGCCTCCAAAAAACTTCCTATGCTAGGAAAGGTCATCTCATTGGACGATTCTAAATGTAATTGACGTTTCAGCAAGAATACTGGCAAAGGATTGGATAACTTTGATATCTGACGTCACTTTCCTGCGACATTGCTCGAAACCAAATACAGTACCGTTCCGTTCCTCAGGGGAACGAAACAAAAATATGGCGAAAAGAATTTATGTGGTGTCTCCACTTTACAAAAACAAAAATTATTGCAACTTCGTCCCCAGGGTCCAATGGCTCTGGGTACGAGATTGCCCCAGGTCAGGCGCAACCTTATACCCAGGGTATTACCTTCGCTCACCCTCTGCTTCAGGCCAGAGTCTTTCCCTGCGAAATTTCGCAACAGATCAGGAGAATAATTGAATAAAAGCAAAAACATAAACGAAAAATTAAATTTATCCACCATCATGGTACGGGATGGAATCTTTTGAATAAAGAAAACTGATACATCTTTCTCGCAGCGATTTGTTTTGCCAAACCAACCAGTGTTTCATGTTCTATATTACACTATTGTTGAAGCCATGTTTGCGCTAAATGGTAACTCTTATATAACAAAATTAGAAAATTAAACCACAGTTATCCCCAATCTCGTTCCTTGAACCTGCGTTGCTTGGGAAGGAACGTGAGGCTTTTGGATAATCCGTTGCCGGAAGCCAGCAATCCTGGCTAAGACCGAACTGCGCATTCTATATCAACGGCCAATCAGATTCCTCCCTGAAACGGATTGTGCCAGTGCCTCGCGTTCCTTCCCGAGGATCGCAGGCTCGGGGAACGAGTTTGAGTCATCCCAAGCCCACATGTCGTTGTTGGGGTATATTTGTATTTTTATATTAGTTTACTATGACAGAATATATATTGTAAAAAAATGATAAACTATTGTATTAAATTGAGAAATAATGTTGCTTACCACTACTACAATGTGTAATTGACTTTTCTGGATTGATTTGGGGGTGTTTTGATCCGTTTGGCAATGAGATACGTTCTGAATGACCATTACTTAAGGATAATTTCCACTCAGGAAAATTATCCGTAGATTGGAAATGAAAAGACAATTTTTCTTTGAGTTAAATCGTTAGTTCCAACCCAGAGCTCACAAGACAAAAAATACTTTTCTTGTCCGTTCCAATCCACGGATAATTTTCCTGAGTGGAAGTTAGCCTTTAAGCCCGTTTTCCACTTCAACCGTATCGTAACGTACCACAGCATTTTCTTTCGTGTCGAAGTCATTAGTTTCACACTACCGCTCAGGAAACAACGTTTCTGTACGATTGGACAGAAGTGGAAAACAGGCATTCAGAACTGCTGTATTACGGGTAGGGTAATTATTGACAGCAGTTTATGCTAATCCATAATGTGAATGGGTGGGTGCGTGACTTCTTCGCTCCTGACCAATGACTCGTAGAATTTCAACCGAGCTTCAATTTCCACTACGCATAAAGTCTCGTTTAATTTTCTAATTCCACTTCGCCATTGGTCTACGTCGCTACGAAGTCACGTGAGATTTGAAAGCAATGGCCATTAGCATGAAACTATACCAATTTTTTATTAATATACCAAACAAGGAACTTTTATTAACAACTGAAATTGCCCAATTAATATTAACAACTGAAATTGCCCTATGTCAAAACGTCCCCTCATGTAATGGATACCATGATTGCAGTAAGTTATGTCCAAAGTTTTCAGAGTTCTGAGTAGATTCCGAAATAACCGGTTGATCACAGAATTCGCTAAATATCAAAGCATTTTGTCCACCAAGCTGCCGTCATGATGGTATTAGCGGATAGTTTTGCTGTCTTTGCAGCAGATTTTGATGCTGCTCTGGTACTATATATGCATGGAAAATATTAGTGTCAATTTCTGCTTTCAGCCACCTTGCAATGGTATCAGTTGTCACCGGCTTATGTGGCTGCTGGTAGCTTATCAACAGTTGAGTGTGGTTGCCCCTAAGGGGCTTCGTTTTTACCAACTAGATTTGAATAGTTATGAAAATGCATAGCTGCTCATCCGCTGGATATGCTTGTAGCGTCAAATGGCTGAAGTGTTTCCCAGGTCCTGAGGTCTTCAATGACCTGTTTATCTGGAAAGCATATTGACGGTTTGGATGACATACCACTTGCATATCACTGATATCCCGCTCGTGAATGGTTTCGGACAACGTTGGCCAGAGAGCAATGTTATTAGCATGGTTATTTTCAAAGAAAGGTCCCGGAGGTGCAAGCCTCTAGTGCATGTAGTGTTTTTAAGTACTTTAGCACGATCGCTACATCTCACCGACACAGTGTTCATTGCACTGTAGGATAGGTTATTGTTCGCATAAAGTTCACTAAGAAAAGATTGCGGATTAAAAACTAAAATACATTGATAATACATTTCTTGCATTTCAAATAGTGGTTAGAATAGAACTTCTATGAGAATGAAGAATACTCAGATTGTTTATGTACTAGATAAAACATGAGCAGCCGATTTGTATACGTACTTAAAAAATGACCCAACTTATGAGTGCATTGGCGAAGTAATTTTAAAAACTAGAAAATACATGCATGCAGAAACCCTCGCCTTACTGACAAAACATTATGTTTTCTGAATATTATGAAGAATTGAAAGTAGTTGTCATGGTAACACGATAATTTTAAGAAAGTTTTAAACCTGGGGCCGGTTGTATCAAAGGCGTTTAACTTAAACGGTGTTTAGCCGCTAACCAGCATATAAATTTCTTATCCAGCGGATAGTTAAACGGCCGATAAAATTGCGTTGTACGAAGCCCGTTTAGTACCGCGTTTAACTATCCGTAGGATAACCTTTAATTTAACCGGAGAAAACCGGATTTTCTTGAAATTTCTTACCTCTACGTCAGCTGTTGCTAGGCCTTTGTAAACTTTTGAAGCTTTATCTATAACTTGTGAATTCCACTAAGCTTTTGCAATAAAGTTTGTTGTTGTTTTTATTTAGTTTAGTTTAGTTTAGTTTAATGAATTTGCCATATATTACATATAATATCATTAATTATAAGTATATGACAGGAGTTTGAACAGGACTTGCGTCCCAATTGCAACATAACCCCTTTACATAAAACTCCAAAAATATCGGAGAAACAACAATTATAAAATCAAATAAATAAATAAGCGAGTAAGTAATACTATACTAAGGAGGACAATAGTCCAAACACTTAGATGAATAAAAGTTATAAATGGCAGTCTTGAATGTTCGAATGGATTCGCACTGTTTCACCTGAGATGGCAAAGTGTTCCAGAGTTCGGCTGTTCTTATGAAGTAAGATTTCCTGTAATAATCTTGCTTATGCTTTATAATTAGATTATAGTTATTTATGTCATAATTACGTGTTCGATACCCGGGCTCAAACACTGTCAAAAATTTATTAATGTCGGTGGTTACCAAGCCATTTCTCGATTTAAAGAAAAATGTTAAGTCTGAAATTTGTCTACGGTGTTCTAAAGGCAATAAGTTTAGTTTTATCAATCTATCAGTATACTTCATATCTTCAGGATAGTTTAGAATAAACTTGGTAGCTCTTCTCTGGACATTTTCAATTAATTTCGCGTATTTCTTGATGTAAGGCGACCAAAGACTACTACCATATTCCAGCTTGGGTCGTACAAGAGCACAGTATATTATTTTTCTAGTTTGTATATCTTGCAAATCACGGAAAATCCTTTTCATTAGCCCAAGGGTCCTGTTAGCTTTAACAACAATTTTCTCAATATGATCTGCCCAGGATAAATTGTGACATATAGTAATCCCGAGGTCGACAAATGAAGGCACACACTCATTCGGTTGGTCACCAAGACTGTAATTTCTATTCATTTCCCGAGTTAACCTTTTCTTTGAAATATGTAATATTTTGCATTTCCGCGAATTGAAGTCTAATCCCGAACTGAGGCTCCATGTATGTAGACAGTCTAAATCGGCTTGAAGTAAGTTATGGTCATAATTTATGTCCATCGCCCGATACCATTTCGAGTCATCAGCGAAAAGTGCAATATTCGAGTTGTTAATAATGCAACTTGGTAGATCATTCACATAAACCAAAAACAACAAAGGTCCTAGAATGGAGCCCTGTGGCACGCCTGATGTTACTGGTAGCCAATCAGAAGAAGCACCTTCCAGGACAACCCTCTGTTTTCGTTCAGAAAGATAACTCTTCATCCATAACAATAGTGGACCTGTGATACCATGCAACTGAAGTTTCAAGAGTAACAAATTATGAGGCACTTTGTCAAATGCTTTGGCTAGATCAAGATACAACACATCTACCTCCTTTCCACTTGCGACAGAGTTTACAATATCATCATAGACCTCAACAAGTTGTGTTACTGTTGATCGACCCTTCATGAAACCATGCTGTAAATGGTATATCTGAGGCTCCAGATGCTTACTACAATGATTAAATACACAGCGTTCGAGTACCTTGGAAATTGTATTTAGGAGCGAGATGGGTCTATAATTGGAGGAGACTGTTGGGTCGTCGGTTTTTAAAATCGGCGAAAGATTTGCTAACTTCCATTCTGAAGGAACAACTCCCTGGGATAGCGACAAGTTAAATAGCTTGCATAGGGATGGTGCAATTTCGGTCGACACGTTCTGAAGAAGTCTGTTCGGTATTCCACCCGGGCCACAAGCCTTATTAGGATCCAAGCTCTTAAGCACATTGGCGACTTCGCTTTCCGTCAATTCAATGTTCGACAGACGATCAGCGTATCTAACGGTCCTTTGTGTAACAACGTCTGATAATTGAGATTGCAGTGGCTGATGTTGGTCAGGTGTAGCGAATACAGAGTGGAAGTATTTGTTTAATAATTCTGCTTTAGCTTTATTGTCTGTTACAAACAGTTGACCATCTCTAAGAAATTTTGGTATAGGTTTTGTTATTGTAGATGATTTAATGAGCGCCCAAAACCTTTTTGGGTTTTCCACAAGAGAATCCCGAATTTTATAAGCGTGATCCTTGCGTTTTTTGGCGATCATTTGTTTTGTTTTACGCCTTAGGATTTTGAATTTTTCAATTTCAATAGGTAATTTAGTACGGCTGGCTATCCTTCTTTGATGTGTTTTCTTTCGAATAAGCTTTAATAATTCAGTGTCAATCCACGGCGGATTAGTCACGCACCGTTTTGTACATTTAGGTATGTGTTCATTGACAGCAGCAAAAAATAGATCACACCAGATACTAAGTGAATTGTTTATGTCATTCTTAACAAAGGCCATGTCCCAGGGGGTATGCATCAGCAGTTCTTTAAGGGCTATCCAATTTGCATTCTTAAAATTGAACACAGTACGCTTTGACTTTATTTTTGGATGAATTTTTAAATTGAAATCAAATTTTAATATTTTGTGGTCAGTTTCAAGTATATCATCAAAACCTTCGAGATTCAGTATTTTTTCTGGAATGTTGGTAAGCACTAGGTCAAGAATATTATCATTCCTCGTTGGGAAATCGACCAATTGCCACAAAAAATAGTCGCGAACCGTCTTCGAGAAATAATTATGGATTGCTTCGCCAGTTGTTGGCAAACCCGTAGACCAGTCCATATCAGGTAAATTGAAGTCACCACATATAAGTATTTGATCAAACTTGGCTTTCGAAATGAGCTGCAGCGACTTTTTAATTTCTTTCAAATAAGTGAGATCAGAATTTGGTGGTCTGTAATAAACGGCAGCTAAAATTTTCTTCCTGTTCTTAGGTCTAAGTTCACAAGCAAGCATTTCAACTCCAGTTTCGAGATCTTTTCTTCGACAACTTGGTAGGGAGTCCCGCACTGCACATAGAACACCCCCACCGACTCTACCAAGTCTATCCTGTCGATATATCGCAAAATCATTCACCGATAAAATTTCACAATCCAAATTTTTGGGTTTGAGCCAAGTTTCCGTAATACATATTAAGTCGGAATCTATAGCAAATGTTTGAAGTTCGTTTGTCTTGTTAATCACACTTCGAGCATTTAGATATAAACATCTGATATTATGACGGTTACCACTAGATTCAGTAGATTGTAATGGTCCAGGGTTAGGATGTATACCGACTAAATCAATTTTCTCCAAGTGATACCCGGCTGTATGATTGCTGTAATAACCAATTTTTCGTCTGAAGAACCCTCGTCTGTGTTGACAAGATTTTACAAAGTTTGAACACTTTAGCCACAACCTGGCATCGCCAAGGGCCCCAATACATCTATGATCACAAGCAATTCCATCATTAAAGTAAGTCAATCTTTCTGAGTATACGAGGTACAAACTAAATGTCACAATGAACAAAGTGAGCAGAGCTGAAATATGCAACGACGCCATTTTGATCGTATTTGAGCATTTGGAGTTTGCTCGTCCATTCGTTGCTGCAAATCTATATCAAACTTTTCATTTTCACATTGTGCTGAGTTTCCCATTCACTTAAATTCACTTATGGATATTTCTTTAAAGATTTTTGGCTTCTTTATGCTAAGAGTCGAAGGCAATAGCAAAAACTGTGAGTTGTATTTGACTTTTGTCAGTTGATTCAGTTTTATACTGTTTGAAATTTGTTCCTCGACCTTGCACTTTTGTTCAAAACAATTTTAAGAACATTTTGTCCCAAGTTTTGATTGGCTGATCAAAGCGATTAACGCGAGCGAACATTTTTTTTCGACTTTCGGCGTCTTGTTGTCTATTTTGTATACTTGTTGGCTTTCCAAAGTCATTGTTTGTTTTACAATAGCTAAAATTGGGAGTCTTACTGCTTGTTTTCAAACTATGTAATAGAAGAAAAGAAGGAGAAAAAGCCAGAGTATATAATATACTTAACATCTAAACATGACACTGGTGTGCGTAAATATAGCAAAGCCACGGAATTACAAGTGAGCAAGTGACCTCAGTGTACCTCAAGACCAAGCCAGTTAAAAGTGAGTTTTTCATGTTTATTGGATTTAAAAAGATAACTCCTCTACATGATTGTGCATTTTTATAACTATCCCATGCTTTTTCATCCGAAATAATCATTGTTTTATCTTCAAACTCCGAGTTTATCCGCCGTATAGCGATTTAAACGGTCTCAAGAGACCGTATAAGTTTACATGGTGGATAGGCAAAATTTAACCGGTGGATAGCCCTAAACGGGCTTGATACAACGCGATTTCTCGAGCGTTTAAATTTTATCCGGCGGATAGCGAGTTAAACGGTGGTTAGCGAGTTAAACGCCTTTGATACAACCGGCCCCTGGTTTTAAAATTGAAAAATCCCCCCAAAATATCACTTTTAATAACAAAATTATCAATTTCCCAAACATATGTATGCCAGGTATGTTATTATACGTAATATAAGCATCAATTTAATGTAAAATTCAACCACAAACGCTTCGCAAAACGTTTTAAAATGTTCTCAAAACTAAACGGCCTTTTATCGAATTATCGGTAAACATTGTCATTGAGTTTGAAATAAGCTGATTTCAAATTCTCGCATGAAAATAACTTTGCTTTCCTCTTTATTTAAATACTTTAATATACAGAAGAAAAAGTAGTTAATAAAACTACACTGAAATTATATGCTGTCTTTTTTCACTTATATACGCAATGATAGGTTTAGTTCGATATTCGCCGTATCGCCCACCACTATCAGTTATAAATATATCAATTATAAGACAAAAAATACATCAATATTTAAAACGACTATACCTTTCGCTAACGTCGGCGACTTTGCTCTATTCTTTTAGACGTTTTTAGACGTTTTTGGCTCTCAGAAAGGTTTTGAAATTTACAAAATCTTGCTAAAATACAACTTGCAAGAAATGAACTTTATCATATACTCAAAGGCCGTCGGGTTTTAAAACAATTATAAAATAAATATTTAAAACAAACTTACCTTTGTTAACGTCGGCTCCCTTCTTTTAGCCCATTCTTTAGTCTTTTCTTTCTTGAAATTTACAAAATCTTGCAAAAATGCGAGCAAAAATAAGATATATTTGCAAAAAATTTATCAATCATCAAATCAAGAAATGTTTGCTGTTTCGCTGTCGTCATGCAGTCGTTATAATGCAAACTGTAAATTGGACCAATCCGTGTCCGCTATTCATGACAGTCCGCCATATTTTTGAGATCAGTGAGGATGACCACCCACCGAAACTTCGTTGGTGAGCCACGCCCGCGATATTTGATGAACTTTAGACTTGGCTAATGCTTTCGTTTCCCCGGGTGTAAATAGCCGGGGGGAATTAGTACCCTCGCACGGCGCTTCGCGCCGTCGGCTCGGGGATAAACATGGTCTAAGCCGAGAAAATCAAAGCTGATGTTTATATAAATCAGGACAAATCTCTAACCGACTTACAAACAGAATTATTAATGAATTTTTTAAATTTAGATATCACGGCTAAATAATAAATATGTCAAGGTTGTTATGCAGCCATATACTGTACAGTGGAACCCCGTTAATACGGTCACCAACGGGCCGAAATAATATGGCCGTATTAACGGGGTGGCCGTATTAACGGGGTGACATCAAATTTCAATTGTGATAAAGCTATGTTTATTCGAAAATCACAATAACACCATACCCCCACCATAATACCAATTAATAACTAAACATCATAAAGTTTAGATAAAGTTGTCACTAATTTTGAGGAAACAATGTTAGGGAATACAACGTCGCTAAAGAACCTTGTATTCTTTCTTTTCCTTTGCACGACTGATAATAAAAACAAAAAAATTAGTAATATGATGCTACTTGAATTGTGTGTTTCACTGCACAAAGTGTCTTAAATTATGATTTAATGTTTTAATGATTTAATGATTTAATAATGTTCGACAACTACTAAATTTAAATTTTAACAATGTAGTGCCAGGATACTCGCCACAGTGTCCCCAATTACGGCGAGTCCTTAATAATTACATCTAAATCACGCTAATATTAGTATTGAATAATCTAATAACAGACAACTGACAATACGCTTAACGAAACATAACATACAACAAAACATAACATACATGCAACTAGCAACATCTTAAAACACCGTCCAGGGACCTCGCCCTTCTACTTTTAACACATATCGACTTCCATGTGCGTGGATCGTCACAATTGTATATTTTGGATCGCGCGTGTTCGTAATATGTCTTAAGTTTTGATTTAAAGGTATTCAGACCAATATCTCTGTGACGAAGATCACAGCCCAAAATGTTCCATGTTTTACATGCTCTAATGAAATAAGAAGTCTGGAAGGTCACCGTACTGGCAAATGGTATTGAAAATTTATATACGTTCTCCTTTGTTTCGCTCCTCGTTATTCCAGAACCAGCCATTGTTGGTCGAGCACTGTCATCGATATATGTGTAGCCATTGATTATTTTGTAGAGTAGAACTAAATCCAAATATTCGTGCCAATAAGTTAAAGGAAGTAAGTCGAGTTGAAGTAGTCTTGTTGTATATGGAACGTTGGTGATAAAACCGAGATTTAAAATGTATTTTGTCGCCCTTCTCTGTACCTTCTCGATATTCTCGATTAATTTGATTGATTGTGGAGACCATACTTGAGACGCATACGCAAAATTGTTGCGGACCAGTTGTAAGTAAAGGTACTTCCTCGCCCCGATGTCATGCATTTCCATTGTAGTCCGTCGTATAAATCCAAGCATTTTATTAGCTTTAGATCGCACCCTGTTTACTTGATTGATCCAGGTTAGGTTGGAATTCATAACAACGCCTAGATCAATTTCAGTGTTAGACAAAGCCAGTTGTTGACCGTCAAGACTATACGAAGTGATTAGCGGAGATGATTTCCTTGTGATAGAAAGTACTTTACACTTAGAATTGTTAAAACGCAACCTGTTTTCCTCTGACCAAGATTGGAGACTCCGTATATCTTCTTGTAAAACCAAGGCATCAGAAGGGTTCTGCACGGCTTTATAGAGTTTGGTGTCATCAGCGAACAAACTCTATAAAGCCGTGCAGAACCCTTCTGATGCCTTGGTTTTACAAGAAGATATACGGAGTCTCCAATCTTAAGGTTAAGATATGATAGATTAAGGTATAATATAACGACAATTTAGTACTTTTCGACAAGTTGAAACGAGCTCTGTATATTACACCGATAGACTTCGAAACTTTTTTGCATACGTAATTTATATGAGGTTTCCATGAGAGATTTTCATCTAAAAGGACCCCAAGAAATTTGATCTGTTTCTTTTGTGTGATTAATCTGTCATCAAGAAGGAGAATTTCATACGTGGATTTCTTTTGGGTTGGTTGGAAAATGATGTAGTTGGTTTTATCAATATTGACAGAGAGTTTGTTAGCTTTCATCCATGTACTAATATTTAGTAATGCCTCATTTAATACTGTAGCTAATACTATGGGATCGGAGCTAGCATAACAAATGCTGGTGTCATCTGCAAATAATAGTGGTTTGACTAAATGTGAGGCGTTTGGAAGATCATTAATATAAAGGATGAAAAAGAGTGGGCCCAATATTGACCCTTGGGGTACACCACATTGTATGGCTATTCGAGCAGAAGAAAATTTGTTATATTGAACAAATTGTGTTCGGTTATTGAAATAGCTCTTTACCCAATTTAATGCCACTCCACGAATCCCATACCTCTCAAGCTTAGAAAATAGCATATCATGGTTTAAGGTATCAAATGCTTTAGACAGATCTAAGAAAACACTTGCTGTTATTTCTTTTTGATCAATAGCAGTTGCAATTTTATTTATCAAGTGAGTAAGAGCAAGATTGGTTGAGTGGTTAGTTCGAAAACCAAACTGGTGGCAGTAATAAATTTCAAGTTTATTAGTAAATTCTACCAAACGATTATACATGACCCTTTCATAGATTTTTGAAAAACTAGACAAAATTGAAATTGGTCTTGAAATTCAAGATATGAATTAAAACAAGACGAACGTATGAGACTGTACTATATACAGTGTCATACATTCGTCTTGTTTTAATTCATATCTTGAATTTCAAGATGATCTTATTTTTCCGAATTTGTTTCTTTTTGTATTTTCTTAAACTGTCGGCTGGCCGTGGTTTTTGGATTAACCAATCAGATGCGCCTGATTAATACCCGATTGACATATCAGATGCACTTTATAATCCGAATATTTGATGCACTTTATAATCTACCTGATTAACCAATCAGGATACAGAGCAAGTGCGAGGTAGCGGCAGTCAAATCTCAACCTCTCGCAGCAAAGAAGCTCTAGAAATCGCAGCAAAAATAGACAATTCCCATTATAGACTAATTTTAAAACTAGGCAAGGAGATGCAAATAAATCACCACAGCTGGAAAGAGCATACTAAAATTAGTAAAATTGCAAAGTTTGGTTGCGGAATGTTGTAAAATGCGGAAAATATAGCCTTGCAAAGTTTTCAAATTTTATATACTTTTGTATTGCGTGCGGAATTCCTACCACATTCCTACCACTTTTGGGCCGAAAATGGTAGCAATTTCCGCACGCAATACAAAAGGGTCTTGTCTAAAAGTACACACGAGTGACCACGAATGACCACGAATGACCACGAGTGACCACCAATGACCACGAGTGATTTCTGTGTTTAAAAGTCATAAAATAATAATAAAAAAACTATTTTAAGGTGGCTCCATAGGGTTTTTGCATTATACTACACTTTTGTATCCAGAAAACTCCTGTTTCTTCACTTTATATGACACGAAGACGAAATTTATTGGACACATTGACAATGCTCTCCTGAACATTGCAATTTACTACATTTGCGCTGAAAATCCGTTACCATGGTGACAGCGCGCTTAGGATAATTAAGCTCAAAATTTGTCTTTTTTCGGCCGTTTTAAAAATTTAAAAATTTGCATAAAAGATCTTTCTCGTATAATGATTTTTTTCTTCAATTTTAAAAAATCTATGGAACGTTACTTAGATTATTCCCTTCAATAAAATTTTAAGAAAAAACGATATTGAGCTTGTTTAGCCGATATTAAGAAATCCGGTAAAATTCCAGTTAAAATTTTGATATTTTCAGGTAAAATTTGCGTAATAAAGTAATTATTTGTGTGAAATGATAACCATTTTTGTAAAATATACAGTCAATTTACATCCAATTTGTTTGCGAATTTGCTTTAGAAAACGCCAGAATTGCAGTCCTAGAGCTTCAAAAATGGAACAATTTTCTGGGGGAGGACCCCCAAAGCCCCGTTTTCTCCCGAAACTTAGTATGACAGTGCAAGTCAATCACAAGAAGCTTTATTATAATTATTACACTTTAG